CCTTTTCCAGGCTAATTTTTTTACAGGCTGTGGGCTCGCGCCCGCAGGCCCTGCGCCCAGCGGTGGGGGACCGAGAATCAGAGAATGTCCCTTGCCGCGGGCGCTTTCAACTCTGCTCTGGACGTCGTCTACCGCCAGTCGATTCGGAATGAGAACGCCGTTGGGAAGGGTAAGTGCGCTCACAAGATCTCATGGGACCTCCAGAAATTCTACGAGCCCATTCGGCTTCCCAAGCTCGTTGACAGGTGCGAGGCCCTTTACTTCCTTGAGCAAATCTACAGGGTTGTTGTCAGGGCCTGCCGTGGGGCCTGCGTTATCTCCTTCGGTAGTTTGCTCCGCGGGCTTCATATCTGTGAGCACGGGGTGGTGGCTGGATGTGGTCTTGCTACGTCACTCGTCGGGGTTTACGTCATCCCCACTATGGACTCCCTGAGGCTCCTTACGATTACGGTCTCTCCGGCAGTAGCTCTGGGCAGTCGGTCGTGTCGTCGTCAAAGCAGGCCTCCACCTTCCTGGCCCTGGCCCTGGAAGGCGGCATGGAATGTCGTATCTCTCCTGAAGGCTGCAGTGGTGTCTTTTTCCCAAATAGGCCGGGCTCGCTTTGAAGAAATTCTTGGGCGCTCACGGCGGTCCATAAGACCAAGCTCACACGGCCGTCAATTTAGGCATCGGCGACGGAGCTGGGCAGGCCCGTCGCACCAATGGTCGAGGTGGGAAAGCGGCTGCACGACTTCGTATTTTTCGTCAGAGGGTGAAGCGAGTGGTCTGGTGCCGACAAGCATTAGGACGATTCTCCAGGGGGGTTTTCGTTTCTGGGCCGCTGGCCACGGTTACCTATGGTTCTTCATTCTTTGGGACCTCGGATTACGAAATGGCTTTGTTGCGTGCCGGCTTTGGGACGTCAGTCACACCTTTTGCTGGATCCATGTCCCTGGCCAGTCTGCGAATTTTTGGGGATGACCCACTTTGCCACGCAGCCATTGCTCCGATCGCCAGATACTCCAGGGAGATCTGGGGTGCTCAAGTTCAGCGGGCGCCTTTTGCTCTAGGATTTGCCGCTCTCCGTGATGCGTGGGACAGTGCCTTGGTCAGCCCGCCAGTGTCTTGGAAGCAGGTCAGAGGACCCACGGGCGCCATGTGCCTCTCCCAGTCCCGCATCTGTTGGTCGATGCCTTTTTTCGCGCTGCTGAAGAATGACCTCGGGGCGACCTTCTCCCTCGCCGTCACTTCCCCCCAGCTCATCAAGATGTTGCTGCGCGAAGGCGTGGTCAGGTCTTTGCGCCGTCTCTCAGGGCAGAAGCTCGGTCTTCAAGGGCGGGCTTGTTACGACTCCTTGATTCAAGACCTGCGGAGTTTGTAATGCACGTATTTCGAGAAGGGCTGCATCCGAGCCAACGTTTGCGGGGCTTGCTGGACCCGGGAAAAAGCTGCCTCCCTTGGGTACCAAATCCAGCAGGTGTGTGCTTTATGTGGAGGGCCCTCGGATTCCATTTGGCATCGGATGTGGGTATGTCCAGCGATCGAGGATCTCAGGGGGGATGTTTGTGCCCCTCACGTCTTGCAGGCTAGCTGTGAGATCGGCCTCGCTTCCGTGAGCCCCGACACTTTCCACCTTTTCACCAAGCGGATCTTCGCGCATCCGTCCGACTCCCTCCCCGGGCCAGCTTCAGAGGCTCCCCGTGTGGTCCATTGGGAAGCTCCTCGACATGATGAGGCGGATGAACAGCTTTTCTCAGGTGGGATCTTTTTCGACTGATCCTGTGGACGCCACGCCGTTAAGGAATTTAAGCGGGGCAGGGTGGGGCTGTGCATGATACTAACAGGAATTTCCAATGTAGTATGTGGGCCCCCCTTTGGGGCAGGCTCCCCCAGACCTCCCAGGCGGCCGAGTTTGGCAGTCTTGCTTGCGGGTCCCTGTGCCTCTTGGGGCCCTCCACAGGGTGCGGCGACTGTGTCAATGCGGTCAAGGCTTCTTCCCGCGCGGGAGCCAATAGTCTCTCTTATAAAATACCCTATGCGGGGCTCATGATCAACGCGCTTGGTCCCTTCTGACCGCCCCTGATCAAGTGAAGGCCCGCGTTGCAGACTCCCCTGACTTATCCGATGAGCAGCGCTTCCTCAAGGAGGGGGACGACGAGGCGGACAGGGCTGCCAATCGTGGGGCCACTCTCCATCCGTGCGGGTCCGAGGCTGAGCTTGATCGCGTTGATTGGCAGCTCAATGTGGCCAAGAACGCCCCTCGACTCGCCGCTGGGCTTTGACCCTCGTGGCCCAAGCTCGACCTGGACGGGGTCGAATACGTGGTCCCGGCCACAGCTGTGGACCCCCCTTTCCCGCCTGCCGAGCAGTGCCATCATGGGTGGATCTGGTGTGCCATGTTCTGGCGTTGTGCTTCCAGCCTCCGCTCGCGTCGCTCGGACCAGAAGCCTGGAGGCGCGGGGTCCTCTTGTAAGCCTCCCGAAGTGGCCCTCGCGATTCTGGAGGGAGGGCACCGCGTCGCGGCCCTTCAGTGCTTCAATGCCAGCATGCTGTATTTCGGCCACCTCTGCTGCGGATATAGCCGTGGGGCCGTTTCAAGAAGCTTCGCAATGGCTGCAAGCCCGAGGCCAAATAGGCCAGGACTAAATGTGCGGCGTCAGTCTTGAGAGCCCTCCGTCGTGGTAGACACCCCAGGCTCCCTGCCGTTTCGTGCGAAGTTTTCGACCTCTCGGCCGAAGAATGTGGACCTGGCAGCGGGGCTCCGTCTGAGCTCGACAGTCTGACCCAGGTGCGTGACCCCCTTCGGTTGGAAGGGGTTATACAGCCAGACGTACTACCTTCAGGGAGCTCAGACAGATCACTTTTCTTTGACTTTCTGTGTCTCCTTGTCAGTCAGTGCCCCTTGGCGCAGGGCCCGATGCGACTAGCTGCGGCTTCCCGCTGCGGCCGGGCATCCCTGCGCGCGCGCGGCCCGATGCAACTGGTCCTTCGGGCAGGCATCCGTGTGCTTGCCCCGCATCTGTGGCGGGGCCCAGCCGCCGTCCTGGCGCGCCTGCACCAGGGGTGGTTGGGTCTCGTCGCCCTTCTGCGGGTGGTCGTTTTGTTGTTGTTGTTGTTGTTGTTGTTGTTGTTGTTGTTGTTGTTGTTGTTGTTGTTGTTGTTGTTGTTGTTGTTGTTGTTGTTGTTGTTTTGTGGGGGCACTGGGTGTATGGCTTCGTGTTTATTTGTCTTTGATTCGAGGAGGAGATCTTGTCTTCCAGCCTTGTTCAGTGCCCCTCGGGGCAGGGCCCGATGCGACTAGCTGCGGCCTCCCGCTGCGGTCAGGCATCCCTGCGCACGCGCGCGGCCCGATGCGACTGACCCCTAGGGCTGGCATCCGTGCGTTTGCCCCGCATCTGGAGCGGGGCCCTGCCACCGTCCTGGCGCATCAGCACCTGGGGTGGTGGGATCTCGTCGTCCTTGTGCGGGTGGCCAATTTTTCTGGGGGCGCTGAACGCATCTTTTTTTTGTTTATGTTTCTCGCTGATGCGAAGAGGATATCATGCCAAATGTGCTTCTCCTCAGGCGGCTGGCCGCAACGTCGGGCTCCAGCTGCTTGTTTGACCTGAGCTGGGGCTCGGGTTTAGGGCGCCTGTCAAGAAAGCAGACGTCGAGTTTTTTTAAACGTCGCAAAGCCACGAAAAGGCTCCGGTCCACCCGCGCCGCCCCGAAGGGGCCTGCTGGCCACCGGCCAGCGGACGCGCGTACTTCGTTTCGCCTGTCCCCTTATACAATTACTCAATATGAATATACTCTCCCTCTTCCCCTGATGGCGTCCGGGTGATGGTCGCGCACCCTCCGCGTATTGTTTTTTTACACAGGATGCCCGGGAACTCCCAGGAAACGACTCTCGCTGAGGCGCCGGCGTCATTTTTTCCCAAAATGCTGCTCTCGCGCCGGCGTCATTTTTTCCCAAAATGCTGCTCTCGTTGAGGTGCCGGCCTCATTTCTGCTCCCGAATCCTTCCCCTGATGGCGTCCGGGTGATGGCCGCGCACCCTCCGCGTATTGTTTTTTTACACAGGATGCCCAGGAAATCCCGGGAAACGACTCTCGCTGAGGCGCTGGCGTCATTTTTTCCCAAAATGCTGCTCTCGTTGAGGCGCCGGCCTCATTTCTGCTCCCGAATCGTTCCGAATCGTGCTCCCGCTGCAGCGTGGGCCTCATTTTCGGATCGGTGCTTGGCCTCCGTCGTTCAGGATGGCGTTCTCGCCCCAGCGCGGGCCTCTTTCTCGCGCGCCCATCCGCCCGCCACCACCGCGCCGCACCACCACCACCACCACCACCACCACCACCACCACCACCAGCACCACCACCCACCAGCACCACCACCAGCACCAGCACCACCCACCACCACCACCACCAGCACCACCACCACCACCATCACCACCACCACCACACCACCACCACCACCACCACCACCACCACCACCACACCACCACCACCACCACCACCACCACCACCACCACCACCACCACCACCACCACCACCACCACCACCACCACCACGACAACCACGCACACACGCACGCACGCACGCACGCACGTGCACCACCACCCACTACGCACGCGCGCGCGGAGCCACAGGTCCGCTACGACACGCGTCCGCGGATAGAGAAAATCAGCGCCATGGTAAGGGATGGGAGGGAGGGGTAGGACGTCAGATATGACGCGAGCGCACCTAGCTTGTCTTCTCCCCCTCTTTGCCTTCCCTTCCTGTCGCCTGTCCCCTGTAGCGGACACGCATGCCTCGCCCCGCCTGTCCCCTCGTTGGTTCCATACCCTCTTTGCCTTCCTTCCTTTCCGCCGTCCCCTCCCATCCTCCCGCCCTCCAGTCTCTCTTCTTCCCTCCCCTTTCCCCGCTCCCCCCCTCTTCCCTCCTCCCCCCCCCTCCCTCCCGCCCTCCCTTCCATTCCTCTCTCCTCCTCTTTGACCCCCCTCCCCTCTTCTCTTTCTTCCTCGACCCTCTACTGGGAACCCGCAG